TTCTGTTTTACAGTAAGGCATTATATAAATAAGCTTCACATTTTTGTATAAAAAATGTTACTGACATAAAAATCCATGTGATTGTAAAAGTGATTATACAAATTGAAACTCATACGGTGTGGGGAAAACATTATTTATAAATGCACTAGGATTACAGATGGAATTGGGGATAATGGAGGTTACCCTATTTAAATACTTGCATAGAAAGGCTATATGAGCCCAAGAAACATTCTTCCTTTCTGTACCATAAGGAAGAAGCAAGTGCAGTATAGGCCTTTCTGTTCACTTCACAAAGGCAGGAATAAATATGAAAATTCTGTTTTAGCTATATTTTATTCAGAATAGTATTTCAAAACAAAGCATTTTTTGTAAACTTTTTTGGTTTATTGGGGTTTGCTGTGGGATGGTGTACAGATTTTTCAGAAAGTTTACACATTTCTTGCTGACTACTTAAAACCACCTTTTCATAGGTTCATTTCATTTCCTGTGCTCTGAACTGGAACAGTCATTTTGGTTCTGAGTTCCAGTAGAAAGAGTGATGTGTTTAGTCAATATTGGTAAAAGTCTGTCTTATAAAACTTTGTCCTTTGTGTACCTTTACTGTCATCTAAATGTAATGAGACTTAAGGAATGTTCCCACCAGTTCTGTTTCTTTGCAGGAGAAGGGAAACCACGCATTTAAAGGAAGATGATTTCAAGACACACAGATTATTCCTATGTTGGATACTACAGTGTTAAAGTTTTCTCAATAAAGTTTTGCAGCATTATCCAAGGAATCTTGCAAATCTTTTGCGAAACATATTCCCAAAAACTTGATGCTATTGAAAATTATATCATTTTCTGATGTCTAATATCACATTGGAGCTTTCTTATGCAGATATATTTGTACATTGGTATTTCCTCCAGCAACCTTGTTATATATGACTAGACGCCCAGTGCACAAAATTCATGAACTCGGGGGTGGGTCCCTCAGCATGATATGTGCCCTCCCACAGTCCCTTTGAGCTAGCAGTTGGACATCCTTTCCGCTGCCATGGAGGTGGGAGAGACTCCCGCCACCATCTCTGCACTCGCCAGCTGTGAGTCTGGGGGAGTGCACTGACCACCAGGGGAAATTCCTACATTGAGTGTCTTCCCCCTGGTGGTCAGTGCACATCATAGTTAGTGGTCATTCTACAGTTTGGTTGATTTCCATACTAGCCTTTTATTATAGAGGATTATTGTTTCCAAATGGTTACTTCTAGCTAGATTCCAAGTTTCACTATTCACAATGCAATCATTTCTAAATGCTAACAAATTTTTTTCTGTGGTTTTAAATATGCTATGTTGGCCGGTTTGCTCATTGATTAGAGTTTCGGCACTCGGACTATGGGACTTGGACTTGGATCAATTCCCCATCATGAGTACTTCCTACATTGCAGGTTTTATCCCCTGCCCCAGTCTGGTCATATGTGGGAGGCAGTGAATCAATGTGTCTATCTCACATGTCTCTCTCTCTCTCTGTCTCTCTCTCTCTCTCCCTCCCTCCCTCCCTTCCTCCTCCTTTATCCCCCTTCTACTCTCTCTCAAAAATAACGGAAAGAATAACCTCAGGTGAGAATTTTTTTTTAATATGCCTTTGTTTCCTTCTCTCATTTTACAGCAACAGATTGAGCCATGCAATAAAATGTTAATAGAATTGGGATTAGTTTGCCAAACTTGTCTTATTCCTGATAGGAAATGGGAAATTTTTAACATTTCACCATGTTCACTGTGGAGGAAAGGACGTTCCATTCCCATCTCAGTCTGCTAAGAATTTTAATTTTGAATATATGTTGACCTCTATCAGAAACTTGTGTATTTGTTGAAGTGATCATAGGATGGGTCCTTCCATTTATCTATTAACATGATGAGTTACATAGATAAGTTCCAGGATCAATGAAATCTTGTAATTCTTATAGGGAAAGGCACTTGATCATAATAGTTTATCCTTATGAGTAATCTCTTGTTACTTTATTTAGGTTGTTTATGAATGACCACATAAGTGACATTAGCCCATATTTTATTTGATGTACAAAGGTACACTAGCCTCTTAAAATGAAATGATATGTAGAATATCTTCTTCTCTTCTCTGGAATGCAAGTCTCCTCAAGGCTGAGAATAGTGGAGCAATAGGCTTTCCCATGATCAGCTCTATCTGAGCAGCATCTCATTTTTTAGTATCAGAGCCTACTCACAGCACAAGAGCAGAATTGGGATGCATCAATGTGCCCATCACTTCAGTTTTTATGAGATGCTCACTTTCTCTCTTAGATATCTGTGATGTTGCTGTCACTTGAAAGCTACGCACTCCTGGTTGTATGGTGATATCAATCTTGCCAAGCATTTCAAATTCACAGCTGGTGGGCCACATGCCTTGTTTATTTTTACACACCCAGTAAGGTAAAAGTCGTGGCTCTCTTAACTTGCCAGAGGATTTCAATCTCCTACATGGTAAGGAATGACCTCATCACATGCTCATCTATGTAATTAAAAAACAGCTCCGTATATTGAGATCTTTCATAATATGAATAAGAAGTCACATTTATAGAGTATATAATACTTATTACCACCTCACTGAGCTGGGTACCATACACGTGTCACCTAACTCAATCCTCACAATTAAGGTAGAACAGTGTACACAACATTTGTCATTAAATCCCATTCAAAGCAGACTTTGGGATTCAACTTCTATATAACTTAGATATCCTTGTTTCTCAATGTAAAAATATCTAAAAGTGTATACAGGAAAACGGATGTTGTACATGATGACTATAGTGATAGGCGGTAAGTCATCTTTGTTTAGCAAGTTGTTTGGTGATTGAGAAGAAGAGTACAGGTTGCAGTACTGGTGAGAGGACTGAGCCTAAATGCTAGCACCGTTATCTAAGGGTATTGGTAAACCATACACTGACCGAGTGACCACAGGTATGTTCAGAGAAACAGTAACCATCTGGAGATGTATGCATGGTAATACAAGCAGAGAAGTTAAGAAAACAGGTGAATGTATTTAATTTATGGAAGTGAGCAAATTCCTTGAATGCATGACACAAAACCTAGAATCACAAGGCAGGGATTCATCAAAGTGTACGAGTAAACATGGTATAATATTAAAATGAGGATCTGTCACAGCCCTGTTTATGAAACATTCTCCATGAATGTTAAATGTACCCTGTCTATCCAAAATGTTACTGAAAGAATAAGTATGATTCACGATAGGGCAATTATTTGAGCTGTTTTCTTAACCAGGGCGGACAGAGAGATTACAGTGCTCTGTGGCCTTGGCAGGGAAACCTCAACTCCTGTATGAGGAGCCCAAGTGAGCCTCCATACTCATATCCGCCCATGCGTATTTCAGAGCACTCCGATTGCTGCGCATGCCCAGAGCTGCACAGTTCAAATTGTCCATTAACATACACTTCCACTTCCATGCCTGTGCCTTTCAGGCAAGTTGGTTGATGCGCATGCGCCTTGCTGTCCAAGTTCGATGAGGAGAACTGCACAACAGGCGGCCCTGTTTCTTCCATTTTGATTCCTTCTCACTGGTTGACGTTCAACGGGTAGGTCCACAGAGCATCCCTCCGGGAGTTTAATTAACTTTGGCAGAGTGTGAGGAGAAGGCCCGCGGGTTTGGGTGGGGGCGGAGCTGCGGGTTCTGTGGCCTCCTAGGAGGAAGGGCCTCGAGGGCAGCGCCTCTGTCCTCTCAGGCATCATGGCCGCCATGGCCCTGGAAGTCCTGGCGTGACCCGGACTAGGAGGGGGTGGGCCCACCAGGGCAGGGGGCAAGTAAAGGGTTTGGGGGACAGTATTTCGGGTGTCTGGGTCATGGAGGGACCTGGAACGGCACACAGAACACAATCCCCGGTCTTCCTTGGGGCGCTGGGAAGGGGGGAGGGGCGGGCGGCAAAGGAAGGACCTACACACGGCCATGCTGAGGCCTGGAGCTGCGCCCCCTCCTGAGCTGTGCAGCGCCCCCAGCAGAGTCCCCAGGGAGACACGGGCACAGCCTCTGGATGGCACCTGGTCCCCGTGCCTCCTGACAGTGCCAAGCAGCACAGGCGGCATGGCGGCCCGGAGCCCTCCTTTGCGCTCCAGCTGGACTGACTGGAGGGAAATGGGCTGATCCCGGGAGCGGGCCAAAGCGGTGCTCACTCAGTGTGGTTTAAGCAGTATTTCCCTGAATGTCTTAGTCAGTGGAAGCCATTGTGAGAGCAGACGTGGTCTTTTCTCACCTGCTTGAGGTGATGGCAGGCACCATGGCCATGACCTACGTGGCTTGGCAAGCCCTTGTATTTGGTATCACCTGAAAACCTGTGCACTTAATTTTAGAGTGCATTCAAAATTTTAAAAAAAGGAAATAATCATTTTTCGTGGACGTGGTCTAGTTATCCTCTTAAGTACATTTGCCTGATCAAATTGTTGTTCTTCCAGTGTGAAATATGAATAGGTTTGTAACATCAAAAGTTGACTGGAGTTCCATACTAGTAGAAGATGAAGAATCTGAACAGCAAGTTGGACCAGTGGCTGTGAGTGCCTTGATATTTGAACTATTGCCAGAAACGTTTTTCCTTTAAGTTTCCTTGAACGCCTCTAAGTACTATATTAAAAGTTCCAGAGCTGATAAGGGAGTAATATTGGCCCCGGAGGATTCCTGAGGAAGGAAACCTTGATCCAGGAGGTTTGCTCTCTGGCATTGCCAGTGGAAATACCCACTATGTCTCCTTTCTCATACTTATTAACACAGACAGCCCACATCCATCCCAGAAGAGTTTAAAAGAGCTTCAGCTTTAGAAGTCCTTGTGGGCAGCTCCTCTGGAAGGAACCAGGCGGAGGGAAGCGAAACAATATTAAGAATAAATATATCATGTCTAAAATTCCTTTATTCTTATTAGTGATTATACCTGTGTGAATATTATGTATATGGTTATGATTGTCATGTATTAAAAACAAAACCTTTCATTTCTGCACACACCCATCCCTAGGACCAGCAGCCCAGTGATAAAAAACCTAAACAAGAGGAGCCACCCACTGAGAGTCAGGATGTTACACCTGAGGAAGAGCAAGCAGATGCAGGAGCACCTGACGCTCAAGGTGAAGGGGAAGGGGGAAAAAGTGCCTGTGGAGGGAGGGGTCTCTCTGTCCATCATGTATTGTTTATTTGTGCTGTTGGAAAGTAAGTACAAAAATGCTTCTCATCCCGCTGGGGCGTTCAGTGGCTGAGCATTAACCTGTGAACCAGGAGGTCATGGGTAATTTCCTGATCAGGATATACGCCGAGTTTGCAGGCTCTATCCAGGAAGTAGTGGATCAGTGATTCTCCCTCATTGTTTCTATGTCTCTCCTCTCCACTTTGAAGTCAGTTAAAATACATCTATGGATATAAAATCCCAAGTGACCTTTACAATGGAATGACCAGAACAACTGGTCACTATAACAAGAACTGACCACCATGGGACAGACTCTCAACACAGGAGCTTCCCCCAGCCCCCAGGTCCCAATTGTCAATGGGCCCTACCAGCCAACTTCCTGGTCCCTACCTTAGGCTTGCAGATCCCGGTAACTCAATCAAAGCCATGTCCTGGGTTGGGACAGGGAATTGGGGGTTGGTGGGGAAAGACACAGATGGCAAAGGAAGGAAACAGAGAACCACACGTTGGCAACATGGAGGCAGAGGGGGAAGGATAAGGGGCAGTGGCAGAGAACCGATTAGCCCTGATCACAGGCCAAGGCTAAGGACGCCTCCCAAAGAATTTTTTGTTGTTGTTGTTCACCAGGCATCTAGTTTACTTTTAAAGGGCAATGCAAAATTCTCCTGGAAATTGGCTGAAAATTTTAAGATTGTATCATTTATAGCTGTGCAGGCTCTTTCACCTTGAGTTTTCTCTTTATCTTTAGGATTTATGTTATGTTGTTGAAAGCACAATCCTTCCAAAACCAGAAGTAACGGGATCGTTTTGAGTACAAAACTGTATATTGATTTTCTATTTTAATTGCTTCTTCATAGAACATTGTGCGTCTTCTCAGTCATTGGATCCCAAGGATAAGCAATGTTCATCAGCAGGTACCGAGAGCCAAGTCAGCCCAGAGTAGAACACCTGAAACCAAGCTTATTTGTTTAGGGGTGGGATCCCCATTTTATAAGTGAGAAAACTAGGGTTGGGCACTTGACTCGCTGAGACATAAGTTATCCTTTACTGCAAGCTGTGTGTTCATTCTACCAACTATGTTGGTGTGTGAAATAGTCGATGGGATTGTATAAAATGCTAAATCCTCAAGTGTGTCTGAACTGTCAGGTAGCTCAGTACTGACCCAGGATGAGATGCAGTTCAGTGGAGCAGGTTAAGACCTCAGAAAGGAGGAGGATGGCCTCTCTTTCCCTTGAGTGACATGTTCATATGGTATACCTGGCAAAAGCTGAATCATTCCGAAGAGTGGCATACAGGTCATAATATGTGTATGGTTTTTAAGTGACCTTTAAAAGTGGTTCCTGATCTTTTAATATTAGCAAAATGAGACTTACCTTCAAATTATTATGAAACAGAAATTATTTTCTTTATGTATATGTTATTTTTATCAGGCACCGGTAGTGAATTATTTACATAATTCGGGCTTTGGATTATTTTAGCTATTCAACCTTAAGAGGTTTGCACAAGAAGCCTGACAACAAAGTCCATCAATTTATTACCATCTTACTTCAGTATTCACACTGTAATACCAAAATGTTGCTGTTTCTCACTAATAATTTTATATTACTTTCTACTGAATGACACTTACTTATGGAAAGTTACATAAACCATGTACATCTAACTAGTCATTTTATTTGTTATTTTTATAGAATACAGAATTAATATATTTCCAGATTGCAGATACAAAATAATTAGCCATCTACATGCAATAAAAATTAATATTTCAAGAGAAACTATTTGAAATATGATAATGTAGTATGCAACAAACATTAGTATTTTAAGAAAAACTGATCTAATAAAGGTTGTTATGCAAATTAACTGTCACCCCATCACAAAGATGATGGTGCACACTGCCACAAGATGGCGGTGCCCAGTCCCCTCAGCCCCACCTGAACCCCTCTATACTGAGAAGGCAGCCATTGATAGTAGGCAGCCTGAGTGGCCTGCGGGAATGATTGCCTCATGGCTGCAGCAACAAGGCAGGCATTCTGCCCTTGCCATGTGGAGGCCCTATGGGAAGCGAGCAAAGAGCATCCATGGACTCTGAGAATGGGGACAGCCCGCAGCTTTAGCTGCCATGCACAGGCCAGGAGAGGAGATGGAGGACCTCCTCCCACAGACACAGCACAGCTCCCTCCTGGCTCCTGCAGAAGCCACCCAGCTCCCATGGAAGCAGTTCCGCTCCCAGCAGCACACTGCATTTCCCGCTGGTTCCAGTAGAAAATGCGGGAGGCCTAGTTCACACTATATTACGCATTGGGGACAGCTTTTAAGTATAATGTTACATGGAGCAAACAATATTTAAAGAGAAATGATTTAAATATAATATTACACGCAATAATAATATTTCAAGGAAAAAATATTTGAAATATAATAATATTACCAAAACTGACTTATATAGGATAATATCACAACAGTTGCAGGAAATATTTAGAAATCTCCAAATAATAAGATTCCTTCCATTATATTCTGAAATATTTTTGCTGTGGCACTATTTTTATTCATTAGTCATTGTTGCTCATTACAGTCTACAAAAGAGTGAAATCATGTGATATTTATCTTTCTCTGACTGGCTTATTTCGCTAACCATAATGTTCTCCAGGGCATCCATACCATAGAAAATGGTAAGAATTCCTTCTTTTTTTTTACAGCTGCATAGTATTCCACTATGTAGATGTACCATGGTTTTCTAATCCACTCATCTGCTGATGGGCACTTAGGCTATTTCCAATTCTTAGCTATTATAAATTGTGCTGCTATGAACATAGGGGTTCATATGTCCTTTCTGATTTCTTGGAATATAGTCCTAGAAATGGGATTACTTGGTCAAATAGGAGTTCCATTTTTAACTTTTTCAGGAAAATCTATACTGTTCTCCACCAGTCTGCATTCCCAACAGCAGTGCAAGAGGAATCCTTTTTCTCCGCATCCTCACCAGCACTTGTCATTTATTGATTTGTTGATCATAGCCATTCTGACAGGTTTGAGTAGTACCACGTTGTCTTTTTTATTTCATTAGTAACTTTGAGCATGTATTCATATTTTTTTTGGCGTTCCGTATGTCCTCTTAGAAAAAGTGTCTTATTTAGGTCCTTTGCCCATTTTTTTATTGGATTGTGAATCTTCCTTTTTTTTATGAATTTCCTATAATTTTTTTTCAATTAATCCCTTATTGGAGATAGCATTGTCAAATAAGTTCACCAATGCAGTGGTTTTTCTTCATTTTTACTTGATGGTTTTCTTTGCTCTGCAGAAGCTTTTTGTTTTGATTTAGTCCCATTTGTTTATTTTCTCCTTAATTTCCATTGTACTAGGAGCTGTAACAGTAAAGATATTGCTATGGTATAGGTCTGATATTTTGTTGCGTTTAGGTTCTTCCAAGATTTTTATTGTTTTCCCGTCTTACACTTTATCCTTTATCCATTTTGAGTTTTATTTTTGTGCATGGTGTAAGTTGGTAGTCTAGTTTCATTTTTATTTTTATTTTTTGCTTGTATCAGTCCAATTTTCCAAACATCATTTATTGAAGAGACTGTCTTGCCTGCATTGTACGTTCTTTCTCAAGAAGTAAGTATAATGCCTTCAGTCGATTTCTGGGTTCTCTGTTCAGTTCCACTGGTATATATGTTTGTTCTTATGAAGATATGAGACAGTTTTGAGAACAGTGGCTTTGTAATACAGCTTGATATATGGTATTGTGATCCCTCCAACTTTGTTCCTCTTTCTCAGAATTGCTGCGGCTGTTCAGAGTACCTTTTCTTTCCAGATGAATTTTTGGAGAGTTTGTTCTGGGTCTGCGATATATTCTGTTGATATCTTAATGGGGATTGCATTGAATATATAGATTGCTTTGGGTAGTGGGGACATTTTAATTATATTGATTCTACCAATCCATGAAGAGGATATATACTTCCATTTGTGTATGTCTTCTGATATCTCTTTTTTTTTAACATCCTATATTTTTACGAGACAGGTCTTTTATCTCCTTGGTTGAGTTTATTTCTAGGTGCCTTCATTTGTTTTGTTAAAATGGTAAATGGGATTTTTTTTTTTTTTTAGTTTCTCTTCTTTTCATTGTTGGTATATTTAAAAAGCCTTAGATTTCTGAGTATTAATTTTGTATCCTGATTCATTGCCAAATTTATTTATAAAGTCTAGTAGTTTTCTTAATATATTTTATTGATTTTTTACAGAGAGGAAGAGAAAGGGTAGAGAGTTAGAAACATCAATGAGAGAGAAACATCGATCAGCTGCCTTCTGCACACCCCCTACTGGGGATGTACCTGCAACCAAGGTACATGCCCTTGACTGGAATCGAACCTGAGACCTTTCAGTCTGCAAGTCAAAGCTCTATCCAATGAGCCAAACCAGTTTTGGCAAATCTAGTAGTTTTTTTATGGCATCTTTAGGAATTTCTATGAAGAATACCATGTCATCTGTGAATAATAACAATTTTACTTCTTCTTTTCCAATTTCAATGCCTTTTATTTTGTCTTTTGTCTGATCTCTTTGGCTAGTACTTCCAGTACTATGTCAAACAGGAGTGGTGAGAGTGGGCATCCCTGTCTTATTCCTGTTCTTGGGCAAAAAGGTTTTATTTTTGCCTATTAAGTATGATTTTATGACAACTATTCTGAATTCTTTTTCTGACATATTGCATGCCTCCATTTCAGTTAGTTCCTTTTTTGGCAATTCCTGATTTCTTTCCTTTTGGGGTTGTTCTACTTAATCCCAAATTTTGTTCTCACTGAAGGATCTAGGTGTCGAATTGTGCACGGACTCAAGCTGCAACAGTGAGCTTGGTTACAGATCACACCATCTGTGATGGTGGATGTTCCTCAGGCAGTCAGGGACAGAAACTGCTCCTCATGTGGTCTCACAGTGGTGGCTGCTTGCATGACCATGGGCAGTATCCGCTCCTCATGAGGTCATACATGGTGATTGTTCCTCAGGGGGTTATAGGCTGGCTGCACCTTGTGATGTCTCAGACGGTGGTTGCTTCCGTGACTGCTAGAGCAGTGTAACAGCCTAGGGCTGATGTATAAGGCTCTGCTATTCACATGCACGTTCCAGACGTCCGGGGTTATACAAATTTCTAAATATTGACATTATTGCAGGTGTCCAAAACCCCTGCTTTTGCCCACCTCTCCCACGCCCAGATCTCTTTCCCTTGGCCCACACCAATCTATTGACTGAATCCATCGATTATGCATATACGTTCTTTAGCTAATCCCCTCATCTTTTTATTTACTTTTTAAATTCTATCTTGTAAATTTTCACTCTGGTCTCTCTGATTTCCTTTTTTCTGACTTCAGGCTTTGTGGTTCTTGTTTTAGTATGTGTAGATGTGATGGTAAGTTGTTTACTTGATATTATATAATTACTAGAGGCCCTGTGCATAATATTTGTGCATGGGGTGGTGTCCCTCTTGCCTAGCCTGCACCCTCTCCAATCTGGGGGCCCTAGGGGAATGTCTGAATGCTGTTGTTCCCTCTCACAACCTGGGACTATTGACTTCTAATCAGTCACCTGCCTACCTGCATGATAGGCCCCTAACCACTCCCCCTATAGCCAAATTGATGCCTAACTGCTTCCATGGTAACAAGATAATCGCCTAGTGCCTTCCCCTGCCTGTTCAATCACCTCCAATTGCCTTCCCTACCAGCCTGATTACCCCCAGCTACATTCCCCTGTGGGATTGAGGGTATTGGGGGACTGCGGATGGATGAGGCTGGATGTTGTGGGGACTGGGTGAGGCAGGTATGGGACTGGGGGACTGAGGTGGAGGAGGCAGGTCTAAAGGGACTATGTACCACCATCTTACAGCTGTGGGTACAGTCAACTTGTGATGGTGTGGCAGTCAATTATCATATTTCCTCTCTATTGGCTGTGGTGCTGCCAACTTGTGAGAGTGTGATGGTCAATCAGCATATTCCCTGTTTATTAGATAGGATATTTTAATTGTAATAAAAATCCTATCTATAATGTACACTTCAGATTTCATTGATGGCGGATGCTCTCTACACATATTAGTGCAAATGTACATGTCTTGTGGTTAATCTTCAGATTGTCATTTACAACAAGTTTCATAGTAGAGAAAAAGAAGGATCTGAAGTGCATCTTTCTTGTTTTTTCATTTCTTTATTGATTAAGGTATCATATATTTGTCCTCAACCCCGCATTCAAATCCCCCATGCCCACCCCACTCATGCCCCCCCCCCCATTCTCCTTGACCACTGGTTAGGTACTGTTTGACAGTGAAGTGCACCTTTCTATCACACATATTATCACACCACATTACAGGCTTTTTTCATATTAGAGAAAGCATAAATTAATATTAACATTTCCTAATTTATATGTCATGTTTGCTGAAATTGATACCTTTCTATCTAAGGGACTGACCTGGAAGCTGATAACCAAGAACTGGCCAAAACAATGACTGGGCCTGAGGGTGGAGATAATCCTGATGTCATCGGGCATGCTTATGGAAATCCAGAGCCCATCGAAATGCCAGAAACAGGTATATTACTAATTAAGAATGCAATTAATGTGTTTTCAGATTTTCACAATATCATACCTTTAATGACCAGAGATTACATATTGATACATCAATAGACTTCACAGGTAATGTTACTTTGAACAGTAATTCAGACCCCAAATGAATGACTGCCTGACTTATAGATAATCAGATACAGAAACACACTGCTTCAAAGCCAAATTGAATCCCAATATTTGAAAACATTTTCTTTAGAGTAAAGTACTTTGAACAACAGCTAACAAGTTTTGAATTCTCTTATGATTTCTGCAGTTACAAATACATAATGCATTTGTAATAAATATTGGCTATATGAAATATGTTGAGAAACTGAAGTAGATTCTAGTACCATCTCTAATATAATTGGTAAAATCATGGGAGAGTTCTTACTTTCTTTCATTAAATTAAATCTTTATAGTTGAAAACTATTACATTTGCCCTGATTCTTCACCTATTGACACCTTCTAGCACACCCCCACCCAAGGCCTTAACCACCCTATTGTCTATGTCCATGGGTTATGAATATATACATATAAGTTCTTTGGTTGATCACTTCCTGAACACCCACCCTCCCCCACCTTTGATCTAAGATTCCCCAGTCTATTCTATGCTTCTGTGTCTCTGGGTCCATTTTGGTCATCCGTTTATTCTGTTCATTAGATTCTACATATAAGTAAGAGCATGTGATACTTGTCTTACTCTGACTGACTAATATCACTTAGCATAATACAGCTCTTTTTATCCACTCATCTTCTGATGGGCACTTGGGCTGTTTCCAGATCCAGCTATTCTAAATTAGGCTGCTAGGAACATAAGGGTGCGTACATTCTTCCTAATTGGTGTTTCTGATTTCTTAGGATATATCCCTAGAAGTGGGGTCACTGGGTCAAAAGGCAGTGCAATATTTAATATTTGAGGAAACTCCATGCTGTTTTCCATAATGGCGGCATCACTCTGCCTGTCCTCCAGCAGTGAACTAGGGTTCCCCTTTCTCCACATCCTCGCCAGGACTTGTCATCTGTTGGTTTGTTGATGGTAGCCATTCTGAGAGGTGTGAGGTGATATCTCATTGTCATTTTAATTTGCATCTTTCTGATGATCAGTGACTTTGAGCGTGTTTTCAACTGTGTCTTGGCCATCTGTAGGTCCACTTTGGATTAGTGTCTATTTAGGTCCATTGCCCATTTTTTATTAGATTGTCTTTCTTGTGTAAAGTTATATGATGTCTTTATACATTTTGGATACTAATCCTTTATCAGATGTATCATTGCCAAATATGTTCTCCCATGCATTGGGCTCCCTTTTCATTTTACTGATGATTTCTTTTGCTATGCAAAAGCTTTCCATTTTGATATAGTCCCATTTGTTTATTTTCACCTTAGTTTCCTTTGCCCTAGATGTAAACATATTGTACATATATTTCTGCAGGAGATGTCGGAGATTTTGATGCCCATGGTTTCTTCTAGGATTTTTATGGTTTCACAACTTACATTTAACTATTCTATCCATTTTAAGTTTATTCTTTGGTATGGTATAAGTTGGGGATCTGGTTTCATTTTCTTTTTATATATTTCATTGATTTTTTACAGAGAGGAAAGGAGAGAGATAGACAGCTAGAAACGCCTATGAGAAAAACATCAACCAGCTGACTCACGCACACCCCCTACCGGGGATGTGCCCACAACCAATGTATATGCCTTTGACCAGAATCAAACCTGGGACCTTTCAGTCCACAGACCGACGCTATACCACTGAGCCAAACTGGCTTCGGCTGGTTTCATATTTTTCATATATCTGCCCAATATTTCCAGCACCATTTATTAAATTAACAGTATTGACTCCATTGTAGGTTTTTGCTGACTTTGTCAAATAATAATTGGGTGTAATTACTTGGGTCAATTTCTGGAGATTCTCTTTGTTCCATTGATCTATTCTTGTGCCAGTACCAGGCTGCTTTGATTATGGGAGCTTTGTAGTCTATCTTGATATCTGGTATTGTGATTCCTCCAACTTTCTTCTTTCTCAGAATTACAGTGGCTATTTGGAGTATTGGGGGGGGGCAGTGTTGGTTTCCTATATACTTTTTGAGTATTGCTTCTAGATCTGTGAAATATGCTGTCTGTATTTTAATAGGGATTGAATTAATCAGTAGATTGCTTTAGGTAGTACAGAGTGTCCTTAATTGCAGAACCAATATTTACACTTACGTAAAAAGTGAATTCAAATAAATATCTTAAATTAATTTTCAATGCTGATTCCTTGATTCTCTACTTGTGTTTGAAAGAATACAGTGATATTCTCCTTTATGACTGGTCATGAATGATCTTCCTAGTCACATGTTAACAACTGATCTGAAATCTCATCCCTGCTAA